CACTCACTCACTCACACACACACGCAAACACACACACACACATGCGCAAACACACACATGCAAACACACGCACGCACTCACTCACACACACACACACACGCAAACACACACACTCACTCACTCACACACACACGCAAACACACACACGCACACACACACACCTGCTATTATATTCTGTGCTACTAGTTTGTTTTTCGTAAGGGTGGAGTCAAAGAAAAACAAGCCACGCCTTAACCAGGTAGAAATGAAAGTAAAGTAAGAAACAGAGACACCATTTTGAGGCTTTAAACTTACTAACTCTTGCTCTAGCCACATCTTTATGGTAAGTTCATAACTTATTCTTATAACCCTGTATTCATATAAATGACCGGCTATTTCAGTTTGATCTATAACGTTTTAATGGGATTAGAAACCTGAATCATATTTCAACAGTTTGATCAAACTAGCCGACCAAAATGGTGGAAACATTGAGGATTAAAGCTGTTACAAAAATAACTTTGATGTTTACTTCAGATATACTCCTTTTTTTATATTTAACATCATAGATTATTTTACATCATCTAAATGAGGAACATTTGACAGTAAATTATAGAGTTTGATACAGTTTCTTTAACAGGACACTTTTTTTAATGCAGAGGCATTTTACATACAATGATCACATTGGATAAAAATATATTAATGAATCTGGCAAAGTTAGTGTTAATTCTAAAATGTGAAAAAATGGTGGAAAACATTACACAGGCTTGTCATGACATGCTTTCACAAAAAATAGCTTTTAACTCTTGCTTTCATCTCTTTTTAAAAAAAAATTTTTTTTACTGCAGCACTTCCCATATTACTGTCTCCTTGAATCACATTGCTGTATTCCTCATTTATAAGTGGATTTGGAAAAAAAGTAATCTCAAATGTAAATGCACCGTTAAAGCTTTATAGTAAGACAGGAGCCAGTTCTTTAGACAATAATTTGACAAACTTTTGTCAGCATTACCAGAAGAGAGACACATCCATGGAGCAAACCACCAAATTCAGCTATACACCAGTGACCTCTGACCCCAGGTAAGCATTTTAGCATTTGGCAGATGCTTTATCCAAAAAAGCTTACAGTACAGATGCCTGCTGTCTGTGGGTGATGTGTAGCCAAGTATGGTATACAAGTAAACTCGTAAAACTTGCTGTAGCACCTGGGACCCTGCAACCTTCAGGTCACAACTGCCTCCATCGAGGGAGAGGCTTTACTATTATTGATCCTCAATGAATAAATGTCTGCTTAATAAATACATATAAATCCAATGTGCTTTCCAGTTTTACAGTATATCTAGTGCTCTAATGACATTTCATTTGTCGGTAACACTTTATTTTAAGGTATCCTTGTTACACATGTTACATGTAGTTACTATTACATTAACTATAACTATATGCTGGTGGTGGTTCTATGTAAAGCACTTTGAGTGCCCAGAAAAGCGCTATATAAATGTAAGGAATTATTAATTATTATTATTATTATTATAAATTATGCATAATTGCATGCAAATAACCCTAAGCCAAACCCTAATCCTAACCCTAACCATATAGTAAGTACATGTAGTTCATTAATATTCCTCAGTACTTAAATGTATAATCACACTGTAACAAGGACACCTTAAAATAAAGTGTAACTCATTTGTCTTTTGACTGTGTCAGCAGAAGGAAGAGTCAGAGATCAGAGTCTCCAGAACCCAGCGGTGTGTCTGTGAAGAGTAACAGATCAAAGACGCCACCCCCTGAATTCAGTGATGGACCAATGACCGCTGACCCTCTGTTAGTATAAACATTTACTTGCTAATTTAATAATTTACTGTAGTGCATCTCAGGTGAATAATGAATAAAAACTCAACAAAATAACACTAAATGAAATATACAAGAAAAGGTGTGCCACACCAAGAGGGGCCCCAAAATCATATACACACAGCAAAATCTCCAGTGTTAATTTAGTGTGGCCTCACATAAACACTGAAGCAGTGTTGAAGTTAATGAGATAATTAGGTGATTAATTAAGTGACGATTGACCATTATTGAAGACACCTGATATTAACAAGCAGAATCATCAAAGGAGAAAATCTAAATGTTTAAGTCATCATTATAGTGGTCAGTGTTTGCATTAGTTGGGATCTTATATACAGTAACCAATATATTTCATTTAACGTCATTATAATTCATTTAACGTCATTATAATAATTTATTAGTTTTTTTTCTGCACTTTTTATTATGATTTTTGTTTCAGCAGGAGGGAAATACATCAGCCGACCAGATCTGTGTCATACTCTGCATCACACTATCAGACCCACATCAGACAAGAAAGAACTGAAGCCACCATGCAGAAACACACAGTGAAGACTGGAGACCTGCAGAGAGTCAGAGACCAGCACAAAGCCAGTATGAAGAACAAGTATGAGAGAATATTTGAGGGAACCAAACTCCAAGAGAATGAAACCCTCCTGATCAGGATCTACACACAGCTCTACATCATAGAGGGAGAGAGAGAAGGAGTGAATGAAGAACATGAGGTTTTACAGATGGAGAAAACAGCCAGAACACAACACTCACAAGACACTCC